AGGAAAATTAGAGTGTCTCATTCAACTAGATAAAAGTAAATTTAACTAGAAAAAATAAACATAAGTAGGACTGCAAATGTAAGACAAACATTAAATTTAATAAGTTCTGGTGAAAAATTTGTGCAAAATCCCCCTTCAGTAAATTAAGAATAATTTACAAGCTGAAACACAGGAGTTTTAACATTCCAGTTCCTAGTCATTTCAAAATACATGTCCAGAATTATCCTTTTTAACCACTTGAGCTGTTCTAGAGAACAAACAAGCAGCGATTTTTGTAAGCTAAAGGACTGAAGTTTTGTCTATCCCAAAACACTTCTGTAAAAAAACACAACCAACCCCAATTGTGATGCAGTTCCAAGCAGTTCAAATACAGATAAGGTTAGGAACATGATACACCACATTTCAACTACAGAGCAAGTAATTTACCCACCAAGTTAAAAAAAATAAGGCTTCTCTTAGGTACTACAGTCAGAAGACTAAAGTTTGGAGTAAAGTTTGTAGTAAAGCTGTTTGCTTCAGCAGAGTGTGATGTGTTGTTTGTGAAACAAACACTAGCAAGCTTCACCTGCTTACAGTAACACCAGGTCCATTTCACCTCCTTGGTAAGCCTATGACACTTCACAGCTACGCAAAAGGAGGGAGGATTTTGCAACAAGGGAGCAAAAAGTTCTCTCTGTGTAACTTTAAAAAGTGTCTCCTTCTAAAAGCTACAACTCCGCTGAATCCAACAGGCAAACTGGAATAACTGGAAACTAAACAAGCAGAGGCACATGGGCTGTGATATTTGGAGCACAGTTGAAGCATTTCATTCAAGGAAAGGAGGAGCTCGTTTTTTTATTATTATTTTTTCAAAGCTTCCCACTCAGCAGCAGAAACACAAACAGACCTTCCTTCGCAGCTTAGTGATCAAGAGCAACTACTCCGCAACAGGAAAGTATTTCATCTGAAAAACTTCTGACATCAAAACTAAGCTTCACCATCTCTATGAGTCAATTAAAGACAGTAATTTTTAAGGAACCAGCTCAGTTGTTCCCCTGCTTTCCCCCATTTCTCACCAAGAAGGTAAAACCTCTGTTAAGTTTCGTTCTACAGAGATCAACTAGGATTGTAGAATTTAACTATTTTAGAACTAAAAAATGTTCTATAAAGTTTCTACATATAAGGGCTTTATGCTTCTAATATTCCTTCTGCTGCAACACCTTCTCCAACTTGTGTTTACGTTCAGTTTCAGTGACGCTTTCCTTTATGAAAAGGCACACTAAGCTACATCCCAAGCTTTCTTAAAAATCCCCAAAGTAGAACTCACACTTCCTTGGAATCAGCTACTGTAGTTTTTCACTTTAGAGGTGGCTTAAAAAAAAAAAAAAAAAAAAAAAAAAAAAAAAAAATTCCCAAGCAGCAAATTCCAAAGACTTTACATAGAAACAGAAAGCCAAATTTGGTTCAGAGTGATGTGTAATATGCCTATCGGAAAGGATTAGTCTTGAATTACAACAGTGACTAGTAGTCTCTGGCACTGCCAGAGGTTTCCAGTATAGCTCCAGCAGATCACCATTTCTGTGTCCCAGTTTCCAAATATAAAGTTGTGACAGTGCCTACTTCTCCACAAGGATGATTAGTCACTTAGCATGTTACAGATTTAAGCACTCTTTAAGGAGCAAGCATCCATGCTACTGTTAGAGGACAATGGCAATGTAGCATATACAGGAAGCAATACACGTACAATTTTGCAACAGTTTTGGAAAACAGAGATAACTGGAAATACAGCAACAGACAGACCTGCTTTAACACAAATTCAGCACCAGGGTCTTCTGCCAGTTTCATATAAAGTCTGTAGCAGAAAGATGTAGATTGGCAAAAGATTGGTGAAACAGCCCCATTCTTAATCTTCTATTTTCTCTTGCTCTATAGTTCTCTTGCTCTATAGATTCATCAAAAGGCTAACAAAAAAACCCTAAACCAGTATTTTCAAGGGGAAAAATATGTTGTGTTTATATAAGCCAACTAATCTGGTGTTTTTTCATAAATATAATAACTAACAGAAAATACTGCTTATGCTTCAAGTGAGGGTGGTGAGGCACTGGAACACGCTGCCCAGAGAAGTGGTAAATGCTCCATCCCTGGCAGTGTTCAAGGCCAGGTTGGACAGAGCCCTGGGCAACATGGTCTAGCATGAGGAGTCCCTGCCCATGGCAGGCAGTTGGAACTAGATGATTTTAAGGTCTTTTCCAACCCAAACCATTCTATGATGATCCAAAACACTGGTGAGAGTGTGAATACAGGAATAAAATACTGTTTAAACTGTAAAGGTGTCTTCCCCCCCCCCCCCCCTAAAGTATTCCCCCCCCCCCCCCCCCAAAAGCTGCTAAAAACTAACAACTCCTTTCTACCAGCTATTTAGAAGATTACAGAAGTTATTTAAAGAAGGAAGAAAATTTAAAGAATGACAAAGGATACTTCACCCAATTATGCATGAGCAAGACAGTGAAGGAAAATATTTACAGGAAC